ACTTCTGCCCGTCCAAGGACGACGGGTGTATTTCAGTAAAACTGAAACTTGCAAGCGAAAATCAGAACGCGACGTGATATTCATTGCATCCAGTCGTGTGCAATTTGTAAGGCCGCGGTGACACGGAGTTATTTAACTTAAAGGTTATAATCCCTTGTTCATCATGACGTCCTTTTTACTTTGATGTCTCAACACCAGCGTCACGGAGATCACGTGACGACGTGATGAGGGTTCTGCCTTTGTAGTGAGGGTTGTGAGTTGACGCTGAGGAGGGGGGAGGAGGCGCCTCGCCCCCCCCCCCCTTGTGGAGTGACGTCAGCCGCTAATTAATATTAATGTTGGGGGGGGTGTCCATTTGGAAGACGTCACCTCTTCATGATTATTAACGTGGAGTGACGTCACCCGCTAATTAATATTAATGTTGGGGGGGGTGTCCATTTGGAATACGTCACCTCTTCATGATTATTGTGGGGACTGTTCGATGTGGAGTGACGTCACCCGCTAATTAATATTAATGTTGGAGGGGGGGTGTCCATTGGGAAGACGTCACCTCTTCATGATTATTGAGGGGGGCTGTTCGATGTGGAGTGACGTCACCCGCTAATTAATATTAATGTTGGGGGGGGTGTCCATTTGGAAGACGTCACCTCTTCATGATTATTAATGTGGGGACTTTCGATGTGGAGTGATGTCACCTGCTCATGATTATTAATGAGGGGGAGGGGGTGCTACATATAGAGTGACGTCACCCGCTCATGATTATTAATGAGGAGGGGGGATCCATGTGGAGGACGTCACCTGTTCATGATTATTAACGAGGGGGGCTGGCCGACGTGGAATGACGTCACGCACGGGACACAGACATTCTTGGCTCATGATAGTAGTAAACAGTCCATCAGCAAGTTGCATGTGGTGTGATGAATAATGGGTACTCCCGTCGCTTACAAGACGTCTGGCGAACGTGCAATAGTGGTTCGGGCAAACATTTGTAGGGCTGCACATATACCTTTTAATGTACAATACATGCATTTATAAAAACCCAAGATAAACACATCCAAGCTTGTAAAAGTGTCTAGTATTGCTCAATAGCGCCACCTATCTGCAACAGTTACATTTTATAACATACCCAGTGCTGCTGCGTCATATTTCAGTGGGAGTTTCATATACAGCAATTCACATCCACACACAACTCTTGTAACGGATTGGGTTTCTTAAATAAAACACAGTCTATAAAATAAGCAAAATAACAGGTCAATATTACAATTTATACTTTATTTTACTGTAAACTCGGAAGAGGTGAAGTCGGGTAACGCAAAAACAAACTTGTGCCAAGGTGTGCAATGACACACGGCTTTGGAGCCTCGCTCTTTCCTCTGTATCATGTGCGACGCTAACAGTATTCTTTGAATAAGCTGACATTTCCGACCAAAAATGGTCTCTATTCACGTGAATCAAACTAAAGTAGAGTGAAATACAGACCTGCAATGAAAAATATGAGAAAAAGCAAGCGTAGAAGTGCTCTTATCCATCCATGACTTGTATGATGTGTGTATGGTCTGAGAAAACTCATTACCTGCGGCTCTTTTCTGCCTATTATCCAAGATTGTTGGCTGTTTTTCCCCTCCTCTGTAGATTTTTAGCGGATAAGAGTCACCACACGGTGAAGTAGTCTGAACTTATTACCCACAATTATCCGCTATTTTTTTCCCGAAAGACAAGTGGAGTAGATTTGCACATACTGTAACATCATGGATAATAGGATGTGCGATGTGCATCGCCCACATCACCGTAGCTAAGAGTCCTAACGTACTGCTATTATTAAGAAGGCAACTGCACAACCAATGTTGTTCGCAAAAAATGCACAATACAGTACTAAACACAGAACCTTTAGAACATTATCCAAGCTCGAACACACCTGGACAGGTTAAGCGCGGCAGGAAAATATAATGAAAGCTTAAGCCTACTTTAACCAGCATAAAGGGGGCACAGCAGCAGCCCCGATAAACAAAAAGGCTGTAAAAAAATAATGTTTTTAAGCACAATTAAGTTGAAATAATACCACAAAATAAGTTTCAATTGCAGTGGTATCAATGCAAAAACAAATTATATTTAGTTTGTCCTCCCATTTCATTTTTATTCAAGTACATTCAAATTTAACGCTACAATCTACATAGCAAATGGAAAACATAATAAATACGGCATGGGCCGCAATATTAATAATGCTAAATCTGTCCTGCATAGCACATAAATACTAAAAATCCCGTACTCATCCCCGGAGAATGAATTTGGTTGTCATGGTGAAATGAACCACTATAAGTAATTTATACCCACAATTACCAAAAGAGGGTGCTGTATAACGCAATGAAACATGCGGTACAGCTCTGCTGTACGTGTAACTATGTACAAAGTCACAAGCTCCCTTTACAAAAGAACATTTCTCACAAACGCATGACTTACATTGTCACTCATCAGCAAATAGCACAAACTATGATCTTTCCACACTGCGTCATGCATTTTTTCACAGGTTAAACAACAAAAAACCAGACAGAACATGGACTGGATATCGCCCCCCACACCCGCCACTAAAGCAGCACGTGGGCTTTACATTGAAATGTTCATTTGTTGACCTTTCTTCCTCATAGCTGGCTGTTAGTCAACATTGACAATGTCATTTAAAGCCCACCGCGGTTAGAGCTTCTCTGAAACGAAACATTCTGGCTACCCAAAACAACCGTGCTAAGGTATAAATCTGTGTTGGCAAGCTTCCACGACAGTATATATCAGTACGTGTATCTTCATACATTGTATAAGTGTCGATCCATTTGAAATAGAGTACGTACCGTATTGTGCAATAGCAATGCGAAATATGGAAATAACGTGGCAAATGCAGTGCTAATTCAATGAAGACCAAATACTCTGTGAAGTATGTACACAAACACCACCGATTGTCTGAATCGTAAAACGTGAGATCAAACATAAGGGAAGAAGAATATTTAATGAATGTCTAAACGCTTCGCTGAAAGTATCAAAAGGCAAAGTAGGTAAACATGAATTTGGCAATCATACAAAAACATGCCCAATTAATAATGCAGTCAGGCTCCAAAGAATCTGGGATAGAGGATCAGTTACGAACAGAGATACCAGCAAGACCTAGTCCATCTCTGATTGCAATGCACAATTTAATTATTCATGTTCATTCTAACCCAGTAAATGTTCATACATTCAAATCCAAAAACACCACAGAAACATTTGGAATAGTTTAGCCTGGAATTTTTCATGAAAGAATTCACCATAAAAGTAGACATTTTTTCAAACGGTGAGCCAAAAAATGTAAAGTAAACAATGGTACATCTGCAGAATCCAGCTGCAGCGCATTATGTGTTTATTGGCAAGGAAATTCGAATTTCCATGTAAGAATAACGCACGAATAGTAAGGCCGTCCTGCAATACAATTATTAACCCTCTCATGACTGAATTATTAAAATAACACTGATTTTAGAAGTGAAAAGGATTACCCCAAATGTGTTGAGAATGTTTAATATAATTTCACGGAATCTATAATATAAGTGATAGTACGTAAAGAATGAGGGTTACATTATTTAAAGTTGAATTGAAAAGGTTCGTGTGTTTTTTTGACAAATGCTATTCAGGTCCCAGTGGTGTCATTGGATAGAATGGGATGGAAGTCCTACCAATTGATGCTGAAGCCATCCAATCAATGACAGTGAACCCTCTATTGGCGTGGGCCAATTACTCTGAAATTAAATGACATATGGCTGAATTAAGTCCCTCTCATTTCCATAAACCTAGTGACACCCTTTTTTATGTGCTCCATTAAGGTTCTTTGAAATAGTTAGGTTCAGAAGGTCACGAGTCAAAGTTTAACCACGAGCTTCCACGAATAAACAAACTAAAGAATTCCAAGCTGGCATCCAGTTGTGCAGATGGTGAAACATGAGGTGCTGTGGTCATACATTGTAAACTCAAACAAGGAGTAGTTCTTCTGAATGTCGTACTGCATAAAGCAATATGCTAAGGAAAACACAATGTACAGGATACTGTACATTATTTTTGTATCTTAATTACTCTAACTAATTACAATACTTAATTACCCAAGCTAAGCAGTTGCATTGCTATACATGCTGCTGAAGTTATGCATTTCCAGAAGGCTGTGGAGCCAATGTGTTGTGTAAAAAATACTTCTTTATATATTTTATGTGAAGAGACAAATGTTAAGTATATTGATGGGTACATGAACAAGCTCACAGGTGCCAATGTCTGGCTTGCTAAGTTGAATATTGAAGTGATATCTGAACTGGTTCTAAGCCCTCTCCTTCACTAACCTGCACTGACCACTTTGGTTAAGTACGGTCAAACAACCCCATGACCCACACAGCATGGGAGGGAGGTTTTCATCATTCCATAGACTGACAAATATCTGTAGATATGTAAGTTGATGAAGCTAGCAAACTATCAACTTTTACGAAGGGAAAGAACATTTCTAAGCCAAAAAAATACCAAGACAAAGAAATTGCTATCTCAGTCAAGGACTTGTATTTGGATGCTATTCTACAAAGAGCCAGCAAGCTTTCCATAGGCCCCAGACACAAACACTGTAGTATCACATAAAAATACACCATAACAGCAAAACGTTAACTAAAATTAAAGAAGCATTTTAATGTTAGCTCGTAAAGTTACTGGATAACTATGCTGAATTACAAACATTTACAGTTTTACAACTGTCTAGTCCCTCCATGATTGTGTTGATGTAAACATGAATACTATTTTTTTTTTTACAAAAAAAGAGTCTACTACATAATATATTAAAAAAAACATACTTTAGAATTAGTTGGTTACTTTTCTATAATTTATTTCATTTCACAAACAACAAAAATAGCTAAATAAGTTTGATAATTACTTGCTTCCTAAAAACAACCATTCTGGTCAGCGGTCATCATACAAAGACGGGTGAATTAAAAACAGCATCACGACTCCGGTACCTTGCATTGTGTCAGCTGGGTTGCGTTAATGCCTTCTTTGGCATCCCATTAGGAGACCCCTGTCCATCAAACCCCTAGAGTGAGCGGTGGTCCTCTCACACCGGCGCACAAATGCAGTGGGCCCCTATGAGGATTTCACCATCGCTCTCCTATGCAGGGGCACTGTATGCTAGAACCGCACCTTTTCTGTGGCTGGTGCGGCAGTGGAAGAGACCATTTTCACGAGCGGCCAGGGGGCCCCTACCACTTTTGATGTTAGCCGACATTTAACCAATAGCCTACCATGAAGACAGGCTTTGTGTTGCGGACGCAGACACTTGATCCACATTTGCATATCAATGTTTTAGGACATTTTTACATCTCATTTTGAGTTATGTCAAATAGTAGATCTTACACATTGAATGTAAAGGTTCGACCAAGCCTAGAACGTGGAGTGATGTTCATTATATAACAGTACCATGTACACATCATGCATAATTTGTAAACAGCGAAAAATGTATCTAAAAATATGTTTAATGCTAAATTTTACATTCACATTACGAACTTGAATAATCGCATTCCCACGGGCTAATAGATGGAACAGCAGTGTTGCAAAAACAGCCATCACCCAAAACAAACTGAATATAATGGCTCACTATGCTGCTTTGTTTGGTGGATTAGTCCAGATTACACAGGCTCGCTATTGTAGAGGACACAGTCATCTTTTAATGTTCATACAATGACCGCTGGGTTCCTAATGCCTTCGGGAAAGATGACATGGCAAAATGTCACATTTGTGTGTTGCCTGCAGCTTTGTTAGTTGATAGCACAACACAAGGGCATCTCAGTCATCAACATGATCATATTCCCCAGGTTAATTTTACACCAACATTTCAAAGTCAATGCAGATGCAGATTAGGTAGACCCTTTGATAAATTAATATACTACCTGCCAGATCTACTGAGCTCAAACATGGGATGGTACAAGTCTAGGCAGTTGAGACAGGAGAAAGGAAGACATTTGGAAGATCAAGGGCATGTGGGGGTTGTAGTGCGTAGGGGGTTGATGGCTTGGTGCTTTGAGAGGAGTGGAGTCGGGATTACAGCTGCTTTCATTTACACGCCGTCCATGAAAGTATCATCCATTATTAATAAGACAGCAGTTTGAGCTTAGTTTATACAACTATACACGCTTGGTATTGTGAAGTTTTAACATGAGTTATCACTCTAACCAACCTACGTCTGTTGGCGACAAACATCGTATCTAGATTTTAGAGTCCCAGGTGCTTGCCAACATCTCAGGTGTGATTGTTTGGAATGCTTCTGATACAGACACCCTGTATATTTGCTTAGGAATTAACTCTACATAATGTGTCAATCAGAGTCGCTGTATCCAAAGAGATTTTCTTCTTGCCTCAACTGACCCACAGTTTGAATCCCAATCTGGTGCTGTGTAATATAGACAATACAAGGCAAAGGTGCAGCGAATTACAATATAGATATGCTGATAAATTTCGATTTAAAGCTTTCGTGACTGCAAGGATTCATCTTCTTTGGTTCTTTCGGTAAAGTCACGTAGAATGAGAATAAAATAATAAAATAAAACAATCAAATTCTCACGACGTTCGGCCACAACACAAGTGGCCACTTGTGGCCACTTGTGTTGTGGCCACTTGTGTTGTGGCCGAAACGTCGTTGTGTTGTGGCCGAAACGTCGTGAGAATTTTATTGTTTTATTTTATTATTTTATTCTCATTCTACGTGAATTTACCGAAAGGACCAAAGAAGAGAGATATGCTGGATACATGTTTATGGCCATGAGGGAAACTCGTAACAATAAGTATGTTTACGAGACTAAAAGTAATAATTGTGTTCGTAAATATATTTCTTAAGAGGTTTTCGCAGTTGTGCTGTATAAATTCTCCGATATGTTTATGGGTTTTTACCGCCTGTTGTCCAGCATAACGTTTGACGTTTTTCTCCGTGTTTTGGGAGCTTCTTCAGGAACAGAAGCACATTGAAAAAAGAATTGTTGGACATCATGTCGAACAAAACTCAGCGCAACCCAAAAACACATCAGAGAATTGCTGGTAAATGTTCAGGCGCGCAGCACGAGTTCAACATAATCTAATAACCACAGCTACGGTGTTAACATTTAGCGGTTCAACATTCGAGCAGAAGGGTTAACCCTCAATTGTCAGCGATTAGGTGGCGGAAGGTGTAAAGTTGCCAAACCGCATGAAATTGTGCGCATTTAAACGATATATATTTTGCTTCATAACTCGCGTGACCACGGCTGATTGTCCCAAAACAACAAACATTCCGCATTACTTGAGATTCAGCGCCACCCGGCAGCAGCAGCGGTGCGCACATCCCAAGCAAGGAATCCCAGACATGACAAGGCAGTGTGAACCCTGACGTCAGTGAAACGGGTCTCCCTCGACACACGATGTAACCTTGATGTGCTCAGTCTCGAATACACACGTATTTACTTTGTATTTACACCATAACGCAGCCGCAGCATCAACTGATCTTTAACGTTTTCTATCCTGCCTGTATGCGTTTAACTCGGGAGTCGTATTTGAACAAAGACGAGCTTGTTTTTATGAATGTTTGAGTGCACGACCAGAGTATGCAAGTAATTATGTTCGAAAAATGACCATGTAATAATTACATTGCCTAAACGTATGCACTTATGACCAAGTCAACGTGAATGCGCTCAGTCTTGACAAATCTCAGACGCCAAGCAAGGTTGTGATAGTGCTTCGATGGGTGTCACATGGGCTGCTGCAAAACCATATTGACAGCAGAGAGCAATATTTAAAAAGACTCGTGCTCCCCGCTTACACCAAAACTGTTCAGCATGGTGAAGTATGGGTCAAACAACCCGCACAACCTACACAGCATTTCAGGCCGTCATCAAAAGGCCTGCACATGTACAAACCCATGCAGTATTACAATTATGACATTTCCACAAACGCTTAGCAATGTTGCTTGTTGCAAGATTGGGAGACTTTAGCTTGTTCATTGAAAACGTGTAAAAAGCACTTACAGTATTACCGTAGGCCAATGTACAATTTGCCCACCAGCATGCATTTCTTTCCACATACTGAAGTTGTCATGGCACACAAAATGGCATGCTATGTGAATGCATGCTATGTGAATCATGCATGCTATGTGAATCACATAGCATGCATGCATATTACACACGGTGCAGCCAAGCAAGTGAAAAAAATCAAAAAAAGTATGAAAGAATGCAGAATGGTGACATTTCCCACGTTACATAATTGTTTACAATTGGCTTGGACCAGCTTCAATTTAATGACACTGCTTACTTTTCGTCTCAATGAGCTTTCACCTGGGACCCAAGCAGCTGAGTTACATGAACTTTCTCAAGCATCACTATACCTACAACTGGTGCCTTTTCTTTGTTAAGCAATCACTAAACCATATTTATGATTGATTCCTCTGAGTTATGACATTATAGAGGCTTAAATGTCTTTAGAGATTCATTAAGTGGATGGACAGTTGACTTCAGTAATTGGCAAATGAAAAGGCAGAGGTTTTTAAAATGGGATTTAAATGCACGAACAAACTCGCTATTTGAACGGAAATTATAGCCCCTATTACTCGTGCATTTGTAAAAGGTCCTTAAAATTTTTCCTACTAAGTACCACCAGGTGAGACAGAATTGGTTTACGAACAAAAGGTACGGGATTTACTACATCGTAGGTTCTCGCGGTTATGCTGTATCGCTTTTTTCAATCCATTTCAAGTTGTACCACGATGCCTGACGTTTTGCTTTCTGTGCTGGGAGCTTCTTCAGGAACTTCCTGAAGAGCTTCAATTCCTGTAAAGACTCCCAGCACGTGGAGCAAAACGTAGGACATCACCCCAAACAACACACGGTACAACCAGAACGCACAATGGAGAGCATTCAAACCATTCAGCTGTGGACCAGCTCATCGTATTTAAATTGTTTTCCTTTGTAAACAATGAAAAGGCACTTGACTTCTGGATATTGATGCGGTCATTAAAGCTCTCACAACCCAAGGCCATTGAGAATATAAAAACCATAACCGAATTAACAATAATGGAACAGCTACATTGAGAGTGCATGGACAAGTACCATTAAACAGTATTACGAGACTCAGAAAAGGAGACAAGAGACATAAAAAATGTTTTTTTTTCTGAAAAGTCATTGCAGATTAGCCATTGCGCCATTGCAGATTTGCTGTTTATATAATTTAGTCAGTATAACACAAAATTGCACTTAACTGCAGGAAATGATAGACATTTATTTTTAAGAGATAAGAACAAATTTCATCAGTGTGTATTATCCAAGATAATATATGGATCCAAAACATGGACATAAAAAAGTGAACAAATGAGAATGCACAAAGACGTGTGAATAGATGCATGCTTGGAATGACACTGCCAGACAAGAGACATCTGCGTATATAGAACAAATTAACCTTATGGCGGGACCATGGGGTCCCGAATAAACGTAAGTCAAAATCGTAATTAATAAATACAATCTTGGCGGCTCCGTCCCACCACGCACGTAAACGCCGCGACCCACCCGGCGCGGATCATTCTGTTGTCATGTCGTCCCCAAGCGCAGCAGAAGAAACAAAACTTTGAACCTTTGATTAGCGCATCGTGTAGAGCTCGTCGAGAAGAATAGACTGCCGTATAGTTCGCCTTCAGCAGACATAAAATGACGTCGCAACGCAGTTTATGCGAGAGCCGGGGGCTTATGGGGGACCCCGGGGTCCCGCCATAAGGTTCATATACAAATTCGATATATTGACAGTTCAGAAAAGTGGCCTTTGGCAGGATCCGTTGCTGTCAGGAATGGTGACCGGTTGTCGTCGATACTAATGATGGAGTGGCAGCCCAAGGAGAGAACACGCCTAAGAGATCGTCTATGATGGAGATGGAATGATGAAATTAGCTCGTGGACAAGAGCTCCATAGGCGGTCGCATCAGAAGACCGGGGAGAGATAGGGACGGCTTGGCGGAGGGGCCTTCATTCAGCAGTGAATATCTATATCATGGCTGATTATGGTGATGTTCACCATTGGAAACCTCATTTGCCAGTAACAAAATATGATAATTGGTTTTTTACCCTTTTATCTGGCAACAAAACTGACACCTTTTTTTACAAGGAGTCATGTTTACATTGACCACAATACCTGCAGTCGGAAAGCAAACAAAAACAACAACTCT